TAGAAATACATTTAATTGTTAGTTTTTTAAGTTAAATTTAGCTTTGCAAAGTTATATATAATTTATGTCACCTTAAATTTGAATTCTATATAAACATTTCTTGGTATAAATATGAATTTATCATTTTGTTCAATTCTTAATTTACATTAAAAAAAAAAAAAAGATTTGCTATCAATATAAAAAATTCTTTGAACGACTCGCGATCGTTATGGGTTCGACCTGGATGGGTTAACGGGCGGGCCAAGGTTGTAGTCCCAAATTTGTGGGCCGACCCGAAACCAGCCCGGAACCCGTAGCGGGTGGGGCTTTTTTTCACGCGGGCCGTTACCGGACTCATATGTTGGCGGCTCGACCCACCCGGATTGACACTCTATCCTCTGCCAATTAATTCTATGATTTTTATCTTATTGTTTATTTGCAATCATATACTTCATATCGTGTCATATATATTACATCAATCCGTTTTATTTTCCAACATGACCATCTTCTTCTTCTTTTTTTCCATAGAAACTTTATTTCAATTTCTAGAAATAGACTTGTTTTATTTACGTTTTTATTTACTTCACTTGGTCGTGTAGTTGGTTGTGGGCTTAAATTTTTCTTGAATATGCCATAATTATGAATACTGTAGTTCTAAAACAATGAGAGAGCTTTTGGCACATTGGACTTGATAAAACAATGGCCAAAAATTTCACATTACTTTCCTTTAATAAGTTTAATGTACTAAATTCTTTTCGAGAAGGGGAAAAAGGAGGAAATCAATAATTTTCAAGAAACAAAAGGGAACAGATAGCCTCAAACTGGTCTAGATACCCATTAAGATGACAAAAGAGAATCCCTTTCTTTTTGGTCCTAACTCCTATCAAATGTCCAAAGTTAATGAGAATTTGAACACTTCCATTTGATGAAATGACAGTATGCCTTTCTAAAAATGTTAGGCTACATGCAGCACATACACTTCCCCAACCACACATTATTTGCAAGTTAGACAGAACTGCACAGTACAAAACTTGTTATGCGCTAAGTCGATCTTGAAATGTACTAACTTTTAACTAATTGATGCTTAGCGAGGCTCTATCAGATCATGGTAAAAAGGTCATGGGTTTGACCTCAAACGCTTCTTAACTTTTGATTTGGCTCAAAATTATCTGATTAACATGATGGAGATTTAAAATTAACAACATCAGTTAGTTTGAACTTTACGAGTCAAGCTAATGCTCTTCATTTTTAACTTGGAATAGGTAGTTTTGCCACGTTATATGCATTAGGTCAGCATTCCATCTCGATAAGTGTACCAAGTACAACTTTAAGGTGCTTTTTATTCTTTTTTAATAAATCGAAGAAGTAGAGCATGATTAACGAATCTATATACTTTTTTAATGCGTTCTAAACAACACACA